AATTTTTCATCTAACTTTAAAAACTTTTTAATTTTGGCATAACCAATATTTTTAATATATATGTAAGAATTAATAGACTTATTATTTCTGTGGTACTCTTCACTATAGTATCCCTGATTTTTAAATTTAAATCCATTGGGAAAATGTCGTGTTGAATAAACTTATTTGTTGTTGTTTTTATTCAAATAATTCTTTTTAGAGTTATAAAGTTGTGTGCCGTGAACGGCTAACAACCAGTTAGTTAAAGCTCAGTAAAATTTGACAAAGCAGGTAAACTTAACTAAAGTATACACGAGAAAAAGGAAAACAAAAAGCGCGAATGAAACCAGACGTTTGCGTACGAAACAGGACCGAAATGGACAAAGGAAATACAGCCAAACCGAACGCGGATGAAAGCAGAGATTTGCAATTAAAAGCAGATGTTTGGAGATGTTCGCGGATAAAAGCAGATATTTGCGGATAAATGCAGGTGTTTGCGGATAAAATCAGATGTTTTCGATTAAAATCAGATGTTTGCGGATAAAATCAGATGTTTGCGGATAAAAGCAGATGTTTGCGGATAAAAGCAGATGTTTGCGTATAAAATCAGATGTTTGCGGATAAAAGCAGATGTTTGCCGATAAAAGCAGATGTTTGCGGATAAAATCAGATGTTTGCGGATAAAATCAGATGTTTGCGGATAAAAGCAGATGTTTGAAGATTAAAATAGATGTTTGCGGATAAAATCAGATGTTTGCGGATAAAAGCAGATGTTTGCGGATAAAATCAGATGTTTGGAGATTAAAATTTTAACAGATGTTTGGGGATAAAAGCAGATGTTTGCGGATAAAATCAGATATTTGCGAATAAAATCAGTTGTTTGTGGATAAAATCAGATGTTTGCGGATAAAAGCAGATGTTTGCAGATAAAATCAGACGTTTACGGATAAAGGCAGATGTTTGCGGGGGTGCACTAACCGGATGAAATAAGGCGTTCGCAGATAAAAGCATGTTTACGGGTGAAACTGTATGAAAGCAGATGTTCGCGGATAAAATGAGATGTTTGCGGATAAAAGCAAATGTTTGGGGATGAAAGCAGATGTTTGCGGATAAAAGCAGATGTTCGCGGATAAAATGAGATGTTTGCGGATAAAAGCAGATGTTCGCGGATAAAAGCAGATGTTTGCGGATAAAATCAGATGTTTGCAGATAAAAGTAAATGTTTGGGGATGAAAGCAGATGTTTGCGGATAAAAGCAGATGTTCGCGGATAAAAGCAGATGTTCGCGGATTATTGCAGATGTTCGCGGATAAAATGAGATGTTCGCGGATAAAACAGATGTTCGCGGATGAAAGCAGATGTTTGCGGATAAAAGTAGATGTTTGCGGGTGATTGCAGATGTTCGCGGATAAAAGCAGTTGTTCGCGGGTGACTGCAGATGTTCGCGGATGAAAGCAGATGTTTGCGGATAAAAGCAGATGTTCGCGGATAAAATGAGATGTTTGCGGATAAAAGCAGATGTTCGCGGATGATTGCAGATGTTCGCGGATGAAAGCAGATGTTCGCGGGTGATTGCAGATGTTCGCGGATAAAAGCACATGTTTGCGGGGGTGCACTAACCGGATGAAATCAGGCGTTCGCAAATAAAAGCATGTTTATGGGTGAAACCGTATGAAAGCAGATGTTTGCGGATAAAAGCAGATGTTCGCGGATAAAATGAGATGTTTGCGGATAAAAGCAGATGTTCGCGGATAAAAGCAGATGTTTGCGGATAAAATCAGATGTTTGCAGATAAAAGCAAATGTTTGGGGATGAAAGCAGATGTTTGCGGATAAAAGCAGATGTTCGCGGATAAAATGAGATGTTCGCGGATTATTGCAGATGTTCGCGGATAAAATGAGATGTTCGCGGATAAAACAGATGTTCGCGGATGAAAGCAGATGTTTGCGGATAAAAGTAGATGTTTGCGGGTGATTGCAGATGTTCGCGGATAAAAGCAGTTGTTCGCGGGTGACTGCAGATGTTCGCGGATGAAAGCAGATGTTTGCGGATAAAAGCAGATGTTCGCGGATAAAATGAGATGTTTGCGGATAAAAGCAGATGTTCGCGGATGATTGCAGATGTTCGCGGATGAAAGCAGATGTTCGCGGGTGATTGCAGATGTTCGCGGATAAAAGCAGATGTTTGCGGGGGTGCACTAACCGGATGAAATCAGGCGTTCGCAAATAAAAGCATGTTTGTGGGTGAAACCGTATGAAAGCAGATGTTTGCGGATAAAACCAGACGTTTGCGGATGAAAGCAGATGTTCGCGGGTGATTGCAGATGTTCGAGGATAAAAGCAGTTGTTCGCGGGTGACTGCAGATGTTCGCGGATGAAAACAGATGTTCGCGGATAAAAGCAGATGTTGGCGAATAAAATCAGATATTCGCGGATGAAAGCAGATGTTCGCGGATGATTGCAGATGTTCGCGGGTAAAAGCATATGCTCGCGGATAAAACCAGACGTTTGCAGATAAAACCCGACAAAAAACAGACTTAAGCAGACGTTTGCAGATGATTCCGGACAAATTCAGATATAAACGAAACACAGTGAAGACGGTTAAAAACAGATGATTGCAGATGATTGCGGGGATGCACTAACCGGACATAAAACACAACCAACCGGTTGTTCGTGGATATAGCGATGCGGACAAAAGCAGATGTTATCAGATGATATTTTTACCCGCTTTTATCTGCTTTTATCCGGCTTCGACGAAGAATTTATACCCGCAATCATCTGCTTTTATCCGGTTTTGACGAAGAATTTATATCCGCAATCATCCGTCATTTTCAGCAGGGATTACTTTCTTACATAATCTTTCTATTTCTGTGAAATTCTACAAAATTGTATACGATTTTATAAATATTAAACAATAAAAAGTTTTCCTTCAATGCAGCCAATTACGTAGAAATTCTTTTAGCAATTATTTTTACGACAAAATATAATTCGTAGTTACGCATACGTTGTCTTGAGTATAAGATAAAGACATTTCCGCTACACCAATTATCCTTTTCAAATAAGTTAAATGTACCTATTTATCTACTTCTACATTGACGAGCTGTGACTTTATGGCGCTTTAGTCACGGGATGAAGTTGGAAATAAGTAGTGGCTTTTGGGCAAATATAATTGACTTTAAATTCTTTTTTGTGTTCGTCCTAGATAAAGTATACTTAGTATGGAACTCGTTTTATAAACTTATCTAGACACTCGTTTTTAATAAGCTTCGCTCGTGCCTAATAAAACTCGTAACTAATGGCGTTTATGAAACTTGATACATAATACCTATACTATTACTTATATAAAAGATGCCACAGACGATGGGTGATTGACCTACTTCAAACTTTAACCTTGCGACACGAAATCTGTGAAGTGCGACTTATGCCTTCTGTGGTCAAAGTACTAAATCATACTTTAGTGGGCATGCGTAACTGCAAATTTTATTTCTTCGTAAAAATAATTGTTAAAAGAATTTCTACGTCATTAGCTACAGCTGAAATTTTTCATTGTATATTTTATAAAATCGTATACAATTTTGTAAAATTTCACAGAAATAAAAAGATTATGTAAAAAAAGTAATCGTACTAAATTTGAGTAAAACTAGTAGGTACCAGATTATTTCTGTGGGTAAAAGGCATAAGGGGATAAGTCGAAAAAAATAATTTTTTAGTAGTGCTTTAAACGTGTTCGCATTAATTTAGGAAATACATTTATGGTTAGCCTGGTATATCCTTTTGCCAGCACGTCATATGCTAGCAAAAGTGTATGCTCTCTAACCATAAATATATTTCCTGAATTAATGCGAACACGTTTAAGTCTCTACCGAAAAATTGTTTTTTTTTACTTATCCCCTTATACCTTTTACCCACAGATTTTAATGTAATAAAAACGAAATCTCCTGTCAATAATTTTCACTTATGTCTATAATACAATAAAATTACATATTTTCAAAAATTAACAATTTATTTTAATAAAAATAATGATAATTTTGCAGTCAAAGTAAAAAAATCGAAAAAATTACTATTAGTTCAATTTTAACCTTAAATAACTTTTAAACCAGTGAATTTATCGAAAAATCATAAGAAAGCTTTTTTGTACAGCGTTCAATTTCCAATAAAAATATGTATCACTTATTGCTGTATATTAACTTGCTCGGGGAAAAAAATAAATGTAGAACTTGCCGAAACCCTATGTTATATATTTAAACGGAAAATGTATCTTTTTTGTGGAACGGTTTAATATGAATATTTTTTTTATAATTTTTTTTTAGGTCATAAACCAAAAATTTAAGGGGCGCTGCGAACAAAAAAAACAAGTTGGTAAATAACGGACACCCTATAGGGTATAATATACTGTACTGTACTGTACTGTACTGTAATATATATAATGTACTGTATATAAACAAAAACAAATATATTTATGATGTATTGAACATTTATTAATAATTTAATACAAATAGCATTTGATAACTAATTCGATACATTTACACCAAAACTACGTTTATAACTCGCATATTTACATTCAGTCCAATAAATACACTACAGTAAAAAATTAGGTGGTGACTTGTGGCACAGCAATTATTTTCCATTGACAAATGCATCTAGGTAGATATAACCCAGTTACAAAAAATATAACTGAATTTAATGTCTTATGAATTAAACATTAAGATAAGATTAGCTTTCTATAAAATAAACTTATTAACTACAGTAGGTACACATAAAAACATGTAGACAACATTGAGAAACTAGTTTATAATAAAATTGTCAAAATAAATTTGATATATATATAAAAAAGTGTCTGCAAAGAATATTTAAAAAAAACTACCTATATAAAAACATTTTTTACACTCACTGAATATGTCTATTTAAAAATAGCTCATATACAAAAGTTTACAAAAAGTGCAAGGTGTAGAAACAAATAAAACACTAATATTTATAATAATTCGATAAGCATAAAATGATATGACTTGGTTACACCCTCCATATTTTACTTAAATAAGAATATTAAATTTTTAAAATTGTAAAGTATAAAAGTGTGTGCAAAGAAACCTATATGAAAAACACGTTTTACAATCACTAAATATGCATATTTAAAATATCTTATACAAAAAAATTTACAAAAAGCAAGTGCAAGGTGTAGAAATAAATAAAAACATTAATATAATAATTTGATAAGCATCAAATGATATGACTTGGTTACACCCTGCATATTTTACTTAAATAAGAATATTTAATTTTTAAAATTGGAAAAAACATTTAATGCAATTCTCTTGGCCATATGCTTTATTTTATTTAAGCAATTCTACACTTTCAGCCAGCGGTTGAGCCTTGACCCCTCAGATTTTGATAAAACTCGGTGAGTTAAAAGGCCCATATTTTTTTGTTCTGCAAAATGTTTCTGCGAAATTACGGTACTTCGAAAATAAAGAGATTTTTAAAATAACGAACAGAATTCCATTTTGCTCAAAATTAAACTGACATTTTTTTCGAAAAATTGAATTTTTTGAAATGAAAACTTTCATTGATGCCATTTTGATTTTGCCCACTTTTTTTAGATCTAAACATTTACAAAGTTTGGCGGAGGTGTTTTTGATATAAGGGAGAGAAAATTATTGTATTTTTGCCTGCATGACCCGAATAGGGCGGAGTGAAATACATGGTGGTAACCATTTAATTTAGTATGCATGGATTGAGAAAGTGGTGTCCTATTATCACAATTATATTAATCTGACAACGTTTGGTAGGTACGTTAACTCTTTAAAGTTTACAAGATAAAATCTGCACTTTAAAAACCCTCCAAACTTTGTCCGATCAAAATCATTTTTTTGTCGTTAAGTCAAAGAGAATAAAGGGGCCCGCAAAAGGCAAGTGGGAGTTGTAAATGAAACAAAGGAAGGGTGAGGGGGTACTTAACCAGTTGAAAAGCATCAAAGAAAATAATTGCTCTTTCTACTACGTATCTACCTAACATCATACTGTAAGAACAGGGAAAGGCCCGGCCCGTATTTGGATCATGCACAGAAAAAGACAATAATTTTATTCTACCTTACATCAAAAAGACCTTCGACAAACTTTGCAAAGGTTCAGGTACTAAATTAGGGTATCTTTGAAAAAAATATGATCAAAATCAAAATGACATTAATTTAAAAAATATCATTTTTAAAAATTCAACTTTTTTTGTAAATTAAAAGTTATTTTTGAGCAAAGAAATAGAACCAATGTTCAATTTTGAGCAAAATGGATATCTTGTTCGTTCTTTTAAGAATATTAATAGCTAAAATATCTTCTCTTCGAAATTAGCTCGAAAAATCGCTTTATTTTCGAAGTACACGGAGAAAATAAAACAGTACCTAACCATTGATGCGCAGAACAGTAATCCAATAAATAAATTATTGGAAGTAATATTTAATGTTCAGAATATCGCTCACTATTATAGCTATAATAGCTCCTGGTACAAATAGCTATTGCTGTTGTAATATAGGTATTTTTATTTGTCAACACCAACAAACTTACTGAGTTTCTGAGGGGTCAAGGGTCAACCGCTGGTATAAATTTACTATGTTTTTGGACATAAACAGTTTTTATTTTTTTTGTTAATAACATAAGTATATCGAAAAAAATATTTGGAATGTTGAAAAAAAATTAAATATTCTTAAAAAAATATTTTTTTGGTTTAAATAATGACATATTTTATAAATGTCACTTAAGATATGGATGGAACGATTGTTTACTTTATAGTCTTCATGTTGTTTAATGAATGGTCTCCAGAAGATTATAGTATTCTTCTTCTGTAAGAAATCCGTCACTCCTAAAACAAAATACATAATAATATAATATGTAGTTATACTTAATTATTAACTATATTTTATTATGATTTATAAAGAAAATGTACAATTTTTTATTCTCTAGATTTTATTTAGTTTTTAAGTACCTATTGTGTAGCCTGTTTTTATCTACTTTAGCTATTATAATACCTATAGGTTCCAGTTATTTAAGTAAAATACTTTTTATACTTCTATTACGGAATGTGGAAACGTAGAAAAAGTATAGTCTGAAATACGTTTGGAATTGCATATTCCGCTCTCTTGAAACCGCCAAACTCTCCTTCGGCTCGTGTGACAAAATTTTCACTCGAGCGGAATATGACGTATTCCAAACTTTTTACAGAATATACTATTCTGGTTAATTTAATATAGAGTAAAAACGGCAAAAAAATTAGCATCGAGTTTCTCACCTTAGACATGTACTAATGTCTAGAGTAATAAACGCAAATAAGTTCAGCCGGACAAATTATAATAAGTTTTATAATGAATTACGATTCACTTTCGTGTGCATAAAACGAAAAACTTTTAGAATTATAAAAAAATTAATTGATTTTAGGAGTCCTAATCTCGGTTTTTGGAGTTGTAGTTGGAAAATAGTGAGTAAGTTTTTTTTAATTTTTCCCTTTCCGAGACATGTATTTTAAAAGAAAAAAATTCAACTAAACCAACAACTTCAATGACTGGTATTTATAAAATAAACTAATCCCTATTATCCAGGGTACTATTAAAAACTGCCTTAAATGGTTTATTAGATACAGGTACCAATTTGATCTCCCCATTTACTAATGTACTAATCGATATTTTATGTGCACTTCAAAATTTTGCGATTAAATAACGTGGCGATGGAGCAAGGTTCTTTTGTCAACTGGGTGCTTTGCGCAGGCTTATGTTCTGCGATCTGCGACCTGCGATAGTTCCAATCCAATCTATTATGGCATACGGTATTTTACTTTGGGGGCATTCTAGCTCTCACGATAGAATATTTAACCTACAGCGCAGGGCAATAAGAATTGTGGCCGGTATTGGTTATCGAGATGAATGTAGATCTAGTTTACGAAAACTAAAAATTCTTACTTTACCATCCCTTTTTATACTGGAATGTCTTTTATATATTCAGTCCCAATTTTCAACTCACAGCCAGTTATACACATATAATACCAGATACAACTCAAATATTTGTCCTTTACCTTTATGTAGAACATCATATGGATTTAATTATTACTCAATTAAACTTTTTAATCATCTCCCTTTGAAGATAAGAGATTTGGAAGTTAAAGCCTTTAAATGTACAATTAAGAACTACTTACTGAATGGGGCCTTTTATAGCATTAGTGAATTCCTGAATTGTAATTTTGAAAATGTTATGTAGTCTCAAAATTTGTTTAATACTTATATTTATTTAGTTATCTAATATTGTAATATATGAATACCTATCCCTGCTGAAAAAGACGGGTAATATCGGATGATTGCGGATAAAAAACCAAGTTAGTTTTATGTCCATTTATATCTGTTTTTATCCGACATATCTGATTTTACCCGGCATGTCGGTTTTTATCTGCAATTGCGGGTATAAATATAATCCGCGAACGTCGGGTTTTATCTATTTAGATCTATGTCTGCTTTTATCTGTTTTCATCCGCAAATACCTGTATTTAAGTTTATATCTGCATTCACCCAGTTTTATCTGATTTTATCCGCAAACATCTACTTTAATTCGCAAACGTCTGCTTTATCCGATTTCACCTGCAATCATCTGCTTTTATACGTGAAGATCTACTTTCATCCGCGAACATCTATTTTAATCTACAAACATCTGTTTTAATCCACAAACATCTCATTTAGTCCGCAAAAGTCTGATTCATAAGATTTCACCTGCAAACATCTGCTTTTATCCGCGAACATCTGCTTTTATCCGCAAACATCTGTTTTAATCTCCAAACATCTGCTTTTATCCGCAAACATCTATTTTAATCTGCAAATATCTGCTTTTATCCGCAAACATCTGATTTTATCTGCAAACATCTGATGTTATCCGCAAACATCTGCATTTATCCGTAAACATCTGGTTTTATCCGCGAACATCTGATTTTATCCGCAAACATCTGATTTTATCCGCAAACATCTGCTTTTATCCGCAAACATCTGATGTTATCCGCAAACATCTGCATTTATCCGTAAACATCTGCTTTTATCCGCGAACATCTGATTTTATCCGCAAACATCTGATTTTATCCGCAAACATCTGATGTTATCCGCAAACATCTGCATTTATCCGTAAACATCTGCTTTTATCCGCGAACCGCTGATTTTATCCGCAAACATCCGCTTTTATCCGCAAACATCTGCTTTTATCCGCAAACATCTGATGTTATCCGCAAACATCTGCATTTATCCGTAAATATCTGCTTTTATCCGCGAACATCTGATTTTATCCGCAAACATCTGATTTTATCCGCAAACATCTGATTTTATACGCAAACATCTGATTTTATACGCAAACATCTGCTTTTATCCGTAAACATCTGCTTTTATCCGCGAACATCTGATTTTATCCGCAAACATCTGCATTTATCCGCAAATATCTGCTTTTATCCGCGAACATCTGCAAACATCTGCTTTTAACTGCAAACCTCTGCTTTCATCCGCGTTCGGTTTGCCTGCATTTCCTTTGTCCATTTCGGTCCTGTTTCGTACGCAAACGTCTGGTTTCATTCGCGCTTTTTGTTTTCCTCTCCTGTATAGTTACTTTAGTTTACCTGCTTTGTCAAATTTTACTGAGCTTTAACTAGCTGGTTGTTAGCCGTTCACGGCACACAACTTTATAACTCTAAGGAATTATTTGAATAAAAACAACCTGTAAAGGAAATAAGTTTATTGAACCTCAATATTATTTGGTAAAATACAAATAAGGTCTTTGTTAAAAGACATAAATAGACATTTTTTAATCATTAAGCTTACATTTAAATTAATTGTTAGAAAACATATATGTTTAATTTCAAATACATTTGGAATTATAACATCTTTAATTTGTATGGAATTTGTTTGAAAAACACTTATTTCGGCGTAGAATTTTTCATCTAACTTTATAAATTTTTTAATTTTAGCATAACCAATATTTTTAATATGTAAGAATTAATAGACTTATTATTTCTGTGGTACTCTTCACTATAGTATACCTGATTTTGAAATTTAAATCTGGTGAATATAATTAAATTATTTTCCCATTGGGAAAATGTCGTGTTGAATAAACTTATTTCCTTTACAGGTTGTTTTAATTCAAATAATTCCTTTTAGTTATAAAGTTGTGTTCCGTGAACAACCAGTTAGTTAAAGCTCAGTAAAATTTGACAAAGCAGATAAACTAAACTAAAGTATACACGAGAAAAAGGAAAACAAAAAGCGCGAATGAAACCAGACGTTTGCGTACGAAACAGGACCGAAATGGACAAAGGAAATGCAGGCAAACCGAACGCGGATGAAAGCAGAGATTTGAAATTAAAAGCAGATGTTTGGAGATGTTCGCGGATAAAAGCAGATATTTGCGGATAAATGAAGATGTTTGCGGATAAAATCAGATGTTTGCGATTAAAATCAGATGTTTGCGGATAAAAGCAGATGTTCGCAGATAAAATGAGATGTTTGCGGATAAAAGCAGATGTTCGCGGATGATTGCAGATGTTCGCGGATAAAATGAGGTTCGCGGATAAAAGCAGATGTTCGCGGATGAAAACAGATGTTTGCGGATAAAAGTAGATGTTTGCGGGTGATTGCAGATGTTCGCGGGAGATTGCAGATGTTCGCGGATAAAAGCAGTTGTTCGCGGGTAACTGCAGATGTTCGCGGATGAAAGCAGATGTTTGCGGATAAAAGCAGATGTTCGCGGATAAAATGAGATGTTTGCGGATAAAAGCAGATGTTCGCGGATGATTGAAGATGTTCGCGGATAAAATGAGATGTTCGCGGGTGATTGCAGATGTTCGCGGATAAAAGCAGATGTTTGCCGGGGTGCACTAACCGGATGAAATCAGGCGTTCGCGGATAAAAGCATGTTTGCGAGTGAAACCGTATGAAAGCAGATGTTTGCGGATAAAACCAGACGTTTGCGGATGAAAGCAGATGTTCGCGGGTGATTACAGATGTTCGCGGATAAAATCAGTTGTTCGCGGGTGACTGCAGATGTTCGCGGATAAAAGCAGATGTTCGCGGATAAAAGCAGATGTTGGCGGATAAAATCAGATGTTCGCGAAAGAAAGCAGATGTTCGCGGATGATTGCAGATGTTCGCGGGTAAAAGCATATGCTCGCGGATAAAAACAGACGTTTGCAGATAAAACCCGACAAAAATAGACGAAAAAAAATGCAGGTAATCGCGGATAAAAACAGACGTAAGCAGACGTTTGCAGATGATTCCGGACAAATTCAGATATAAACGAAACACAGTGAAGACGGTTAAAAACAGATGATTGCAGATGATTGCGGGGGTGCACTAACCGGACATAAAACACAACCAACCGGGTGTTCGCGGATATAGCGATGCGGACAAAAGCAGATGTTATCAGATGATATTTTTACCCGCTTTTATCTGCTTTTATCCGGCTTCGACGAAGAATTTATACCCGCAATCATCTGCTTTTATCCGGTTTTGACGAAGAATTTATATCCGCAATCATCCGTCATTTTCAGCAGGGATTTGACATTTGTAAAATACAGTTGTATTACTAGCAAGCAATAAATTATTATTATTATTATTATTATTATTATTATTATTATTATTATTATTATTATTATTATTATTATTATTATTATTATTATTATTATTATTATTATTATTATTATTATTATTATTATTATTATTATTATTATTATTATTATTATTATTATTATTATTATTATTATGTAGACCCGGCTTTAGGTACAATATTTTTTCGACAAGCAATTTTTAGCTATTTTCTCCATCAGTTCATTTATAAAAAAATATTTTTCTA